TACAATGTTGAAACATGTTATCAAAAAATAATTTAGTAATCGGAAACTCATTGTATTTTAAACAATCTATGTTGAGGTCCCCAATACAGAATAACTTTTTTTGTTCTTAATTGATTTTGAGAAAAATTTCTTCTAGATATTTAGAAAAAGTTTTAATATTACCTTCAGGTGGTCTATAACAGGTAGAAACAATAATATTTTTAAACTTGGAGTTTATGATTTCTATTGTAAAGGCCTCACTATCGGCATTAGAAATGGAGTGGTCTTTTCTTACTTTTATTGCTTGATCATTCCGAACATAAGTTGCAATCCCTCCTCCTTTTTTGCATGTTTTTCTTTCAGAAGATATTAATTTATAATTGGGAATTTGAAAGTTAGTGTTATTTTGGATTGATTCGTCAGAACACCAAGTTTCTGTTAGACAAATCATACTAAATAAGTAATTACAATCAATTAGGAAGTGCTTAAGTTTGTCAAAATTTTTATTTATGCTTCTTATATTTATGTGAATTACTGTAAAATTATTTTTAATAGTTTCAAGTTCAGTTTTAAAAGTTTCAATTTTAACATATCGAGAATCAAAATTATTCATTTGAAAAATATGCGTATCAGCGTCAATGAGTATATTATTAGCAGTTTCGAAAACATTAAAGCGCATTGATTCAAAATCTATTGTTTTGTTGTTCATTGTTTTAAAATTGAAAATTGAAAACGCGTTTACTTAGTTAAAAAAAAGTGTAGCGCTTTTTTTTAAAATCTCGTGTAAATATTTTATCATATTTTAAAACGGCGTATTTACCTTCGCTTCTTAGTTTTTTTACTTCTTCCCATAACTTTAGTCGATGATATATTGTTTCTTGAGCGAAATCTTCATTTATGTATAGTCCAGTTCCTTTAAGTTGTTTTACTGCTTTGAGAATTTTGTTTTTGTCTTGGTAGTTCAAGAGTTTTTACCGACTGTCTAACCTATATCGAAAGGGTCCACATTTGCCGACTAACTAGGTCCAATTTGCCGACTAAGAGTCCAATTTGCCGACTAAGAGTCCAATTTGCCGACTAAGGGTCCAGTTTGCCGACTAAAAATCATTGATGGGGGGGGGGGGGTGTCACACCCCCCCACACACCCCTATCACGCCGGCCTTGTCTCTAGCATGTCCAATCTATCTGTAATAATTTTGAGATTTGCACTGATAATTGAGGTAAATGATTTTTCCTGGTCTTTTAACAATCTTTCCGTTTCTTTTAGGATACTTTTTTTGTGCTCCTCAAGTTTACTTGAAATTATTTTTTCAATGTTTTTCATTGTGATGTCCATTTTTTTTTTTTTTTTTTTTTTTTTTTTTTATAAATGCTTTTTATGCTTTTTTTTTATTTTTTAATTTTATTTTTTAATTTTTATTTTTTTATTTTTTATTTTTTATTTTTTTTTATAAATGCTTTTTATAAATTTTTTTATAAATCTACGCTACAAAAACACGTCTGTTCACTTCGCGCAAGTCATGCCAAAAAAAGACTGTAAAGTAAAAAATCTTCTACTTTGCCTTAAATTCTTTGCTTAAAATTATACAAATAATCTTTTTTTTTTGCTGTTTGATAATTTTCCTGTTTGAAAGTGTTAAAATCAGGTGATCCTTCCGATGTTACGAATTATAGACCAATCTCAATTCTTTCTTGTTTTTCTAAAATATTAGAGCGGGTTATGTATAATAGACTATATTCCTTTTTAAATGTTAATAATATTCTTTATCATAAACAGTTTGGATTTAAATCTGGTTATTCAACTGATCATGCAATCACTCACCTTGTTCATGATATATTTAAAGGGTTTGATGAAGACAAGTATACCCTAGGTGTATTTATCGATTTAAGTAAAGCTTTTGACACTGTCAATCATCAAATCCTTCTATCCAAACTGAAAAGTTATGGTATAATAAATACTAATTTGTCCTGGTTTGATAGTTACTTGACTAATAGAAAGCAGTTTATTTCATATGATAGCGGAAAAACGGAATATAAGTCAATCACCTGTGGTGTTCCTCAAGGATCAATTTTAGGACCACTTTTATTTCTCGTTTATATTAATGACTTATATAAATTTTCTAACATTCTAAACTTAATTTTGTTTGCAGATGATACAAACTTGTTTTATTCTAGTAAAGATATCAGTAAATTATTTCAAACAGTAAACAAAAAACTTGAAAAATTAACCCAATGGTTCAAATCAAACAAACTATCTTTGAACATCAATAAATCCAAATACACTTTGTTCCATCGTCTTCATAAAAAACAAGATATTCCATTAAAACTTCCTGATCTTTTTATTGATAACGCATTATTAAAAAGAGAGCAATCAATAAAGTTTTTAGGTGTGGTTCTGGATGAAAATTTAACCTGGAGGGACCACATAGGTCTAATTGAAAATAAAATATCAAAAAATATAGGTGTTTTGTATAAAGCCAAGCAGTTTTTAAATCTATCTTGTTTAAAAAACTTATATTTTTCTTTAATTCATTGCTACTTAAATTATGCAAACGTTGCTTGGTGCAGCACAAACGCAACAAAAGTAAAAAAACTGTTTAGTAAACAAAAACAGGCTATAAGGATAATTACAAACGTAGACCGTTTCTCTCACACTAAAACATTATTTAATAAACTTAATATTCTAAATGTATATAAACTAAACCTTTACCATATTCTTATCTTCATGTTTAAACTTGATAAAAAAATATCACCAATGTTATTTAATTCACTTTTTGAAAAAATAAACCACATATACCCTACCAGATTTTCAAAAAACAATTACATTCAATCCAAAACACATTATTCAGCAACCAAATTCTCAATTGCAAATCGAGGTCCTAAGCTGTGGAATACAATATTAAATAATGAGCTGAAATCTAATTATTCTTTAAACCAGTTTAAAACAAAACTTAAGCAATTACTGATGATACATGAAAATGAATTAAAGTTCTTCTAAAAAGCTTTTTAAACTAGCAAACAAAAACAAAAATTAACCTACTAATTACTCTTTAATATTATATTTAATATTCTAACAATAGTCTGCTATTGTAAATGTATTTCTTATCTTATAAGTTTTGAATTTACAAACGATTTTTTAAGTTTTATTATTTGAAATACTAATTACTAAAAATATTGTAAAATTTTATAATTTCAATTTTTATTATAAAAAGTTATTGTAAATTCTTTTTGTAATATTAATACTTATATATCATCTTATTTTACTAATCAGTTCTTAAATATAAATACTCTTTGAATTACTAAATATTTTAAACGTTATATATTTTATTTTTTACATTTTGTTAAAATATTTTATTTGATGAATATGCATTTTTTTTTTTTTTTTGGGGGGGGGGGCTTAATGATAAGATGAATTTTGTCTTCTTCAAGCCCCAGTCATGTAAATATTTGTTTTTATAAATTACGAGTGTAAATTATTTTCAATCGGCAAATACAATACTACTACTAAAGTTTGCCGTTTGTCAAATTTATAATAAATACATTTATACGAATTATATATAAATTTTTATATATTATTTATTATATATATTATATATTATATAAATTTAACTATATATATAAATTTAGGCTGGAATAAGAGGAACACATAAACTCACTTATCACCAACTCCCGTTTACTCATTGTCTGTGTTAATATAAAAGCAAATATATACGTAATCCGTTTTAAAATACATTGACTTTACCAAACTGTCATTTACAAAAATCAGCGATATGCACTTACACGTTTAGGTTTCGATTTGAATTTAGCAACAGTGATAATGAGGTCAATACTGCGATATGTTTTTCCACAAAATTTAGCGCTTGCAAAATCAACATGAGGATACATCGATGACACCCTAGCAGCAATGGAAATGAAAGAAAGCTGGTAGCACATATGAAGAAATGGAGCCTTCATGCAAAAACACCTTAATATTTTGGCAAAAACTCGTTTGTGTTTTAACACAAAAAAAAGTTTGTGCATTAGGATTGAAAAGAAATATTCCTTTGTTAATTGAATAAATCCATTAACAAAGGAAATATTTTGAAAAAGAGGACGTGAGATTTCTATTACTAAAACTATGCTCACCAAAAGGGATATATTCTCATTATGTGGTAATCTGTTTGCTAATCACCCAGTTGCTGGATGGTTGAGACTCGTATGCAGCTATATAAAGAAATGTACAAACAAAGTAGGTTAGGATAGACCTAGTATGAATAAGTATGTTATTGAAATGATGTAGGAAGTTGTAGATAAAGTTGTAAAATGCGTTACGGCTTTATATTTCAACTGTATGGTGTGATTCAAGTTCGCTGACAAAAAGAATTGAGATAGGTGACAAAAAAATAGACATGAAAATAGACTTAGTGACAATAGACATACCAAGGTGAAAAAAAAATAGACAAGCAACATAGCTTCAAACAAAGTTTGATACAATGCATATTAACGTAGCTGAATTGGAAGCATGTTTTGAAGGTCTAAAAATTATATTAAAATGGAACCCAAGTGATGTCTTTATTAAAACTGATTCTCATAATGTATTCAATGGGTTATATTCTGAGTTAACTAGTGACAAACCTGTAAAAGTTTGTTATTCTACACGTTATGGACACCATTTAGCGAAGAAAGTGCAACAATTGTTGTTTAATTGTTAGAAACGATATGGTCATTACTTGGACCTACTTCTGAAGTTCTCCTAGATAATTCTAAGTCATTTAGATCTCAAATTATGCAAACTATAGCGTTGAAAAGTTGATTATTAAAACGTGGAAAATAAAACTTATCTATCGAGTTAGCTCGATAAAATATGTTTGTCTTATTTCAATGCAGTGAATCAGATATAAATAAGCAACTTGTGATTTGCAGAAACTCCATCGCAATTTACAATAACTTTTAAGGAGTTTAGTTTACAAATTTCAATTGTTTTCTAAAGTAAAAGAAGCATTAGTTAAATAGCGTCTCCAGACGCGGTAAAGTCAGTTAGATTAGTTAAGTATATCATTATTGACTGCAGGCTTCAGTGCAGGCCCGCCCAGAGCTTTTGTGATGCCCGGGTCCAAAAGTTTAATGGATGCCCTATCATACTTCAGGTCTTAAAATAGCAAAAAAATTAATATAGTTTACTTTCATAAAAAACCTAAAATCACATTTAATTTTGGTTTTCAAGAACAAACTATGATAAAATCAATTCTTAATTGACAAACACATCTTCCGGGCCTTCTTAGCAGCAAAATTTGAAATAACTTCTTCATAATTAACGTTAATGGCTAAATCTGATTCGATTGAAAGGATCATCAAGTAGCACAATCGCTCCTGGCCCATTGTGGAACGTAGATAGTCTTTGATGATAGCTAACTTGCTGAAAGATCTTTCTCCTTCAGATGTTGAAACGGGCAATGTTAGAAAGATTCTAAGAGAAACACACATTTGCGGAAATATTGAATGCAGCCCCTTTGCATAAACTTCATTTAGAAGTTCGACAGGCTTTTCGCTGGCTAGAATATTTCTTCTTACGGAAAAAAAATGCCGAACTTCATCAGAAAATTCGTTTTTACATAAGTCTTCTGGGTAAAGTTTAGCCAGATTCTCAGCTTTTAAACCTAGATCTTGGTCTGTTTGAGATTTCTGTAAATACCAAAGGAAGGAAAACTTGCTACATTCCTCTTCTATTACTTTAAATCTTGATCTCATTTGACTAGTCAGATTGTCGAGTGCAACATTGAAGACATTACACTCAAAGTTTTTTGATGCTTCTTCGTGGTTGTAACCAGCAGTTTCATCTGAGACGATCTTTTTTCGCGTTCTCTTCACAGTAAACATTATTTTATCAAATTTCAAGTTCTTTGCAACTTCTGTTGCCTCTATCAAAATGAGGTCCCAAGACAGACGGGTTCGATCCAGATCCATCAAAAGGCCATTTAGAATCTTTACTTCATCATCGAGAGTGAGTTGAGTGGATTGAAGCAGAAGACTCACGTTATTAACTGCCATCAAACATTTAAACCAAAAAGTAGTGAAAACAACAAATTCAAAAGAATTCATCCATTTAATGAGATAATGCACTTCTTTACTAGATTCGCCTGGAAGGTCTAACTCTTTTAGACGATGTAATAATTTCAAGATCTCTCTTGGCTTTTTTGCTAGTGGCTTAACTGATTCAATCCTTGAACTCCATCGTGTAACAGAAAGTTTATGTAATGATTGGCCTGTCTCCTCCTTAAGAATTTTCCAACGAACTGGGCTGCTGCTGAACAGATTGTATAGCTTTTGAATATTTCCAAAATAGGATTTTGCAGGAGCCGATGATTCAATAGCGTGTACTGCACATAAGTTCAAACTGTGAGCAGAGCAAGGAATAAAAATTGCTTGTGGATTATTCTGTCTTATCAAAGCTTGAACTCCATTGTAATTACCTGCCATATTAGCGCCGTTGTCGTAGCCTTGACCTCGACAATTTTTTATGTCGAGCTCATTCTCTTCCAACACATTCAATATCAACTTTGTTATATCAGATCCCTTTTTCTTTTCAAGTTCTTCTAGCTTAAGGAATCTTTCTTTGACCTACCACAGCTGATTATCATTGAAATGCAAAAAACGAAAAACAAAAGTTATTTGCTCGCTGTGGGACGAATCGGGAGTGCTGTCCGTAATGATGGTGAAATATATTGATTTTTTGATTTCTCGAATAACTTCTGGAACCACTAATTTGCCGCATTCCTTGATAAATTCATTTTGTGATTTCCAAGATAAATAATGAGCTTGCATGCGTTTTTCTTCTTCTTGGTGCTTAGCAATAAGATGCATATGATCTTGTAATGTTTTGTTGTGGCGAGCAATTAATTCGAGCGCTCCAAGGAAGTTTCCATTCCCATTTTTGAACAATTTTTGATTGGATCCTAATTACAAACAAAAAATAATCAAAATAGTAATCCATATTTATATCCAATTAAAACTTGTAATTTTGATTTTTAAATTACAAATAGAATAATGCAAAATATAATTTAAAATTTAAAAACAATATTCTTACCCCTAAAAGCTAAGTTTCTTGAAGCTAGAAAAATTGTGACGTTAAGAATGCATTGTAAAATTACTTTCCATCGCTTTGTTTCATCTCCAATTTGTTTTTCTAACTGATGCTCAATGGACTTTTGACTTTTCAAGTGAATCGTAGCTGTTTTCCATTGGAGATAACAGTTACGATGAAAATCGCTTTGTTGATGACTTTTAACGCGATCTGAAAGTTTTCTCCAATTTCCATGTATACCTCCATTCTAAGACAACAAACTGGATTAAACACCGGGTCTGGTTAAGTTAGGCGATCCAAAAAGGGAGCAAGGGAAACAAAAGAGTGATGCCACAGCCTTACTCCAAACGAGCCAATCTCTTTTAACTTTTTCTCCATTTCTTTGTTCCTCTAAAAAGATATAAGTAGGGAATTTGCGTTCTTTTTGATCTCTTGGAAAATTGCTAGGATTTGAAGAAGGTCCCATCAGAATTTTATTCGTTCGATCAGTGTCTGATATTGATTTCCATAGTGCAGGATCGTTAGAGATTGGTATAGAAAGATCACTTTTATAAATTAGTTGGTCATTGTGACAATCAAGTACAAAATCCAACTGATCCTTTTTTAAATGTGATGATGTTTTTTGGGAGTCATCGATGTCATCGGCAAGAAAAAGTTTTGTCTGGCAACTCATTAGAGTCATTGATACCGATCTCAATATCATTGAACTATAAAGAAGTATTAAACAGAATTATTCTAATTATTTTTTCATGAACGTCACAAGATAAAAAAATAGTTTAACTACCTGCTTGCATTTATCTTCGATTTTTGTCCAACGAACGCAATCTAAAAGCGTTCGTTTGTTTTTGCTTTTGTTATTTTTCCGAATCATCGTTCTTTTTCTCCCAGCAGCTCCAGACAGCTGTTTCAATTGTGGAGGTCTTTGATTATTCATGCTAAAACTTATGACGATATAAAGAATTTTAACTTTTTAAATTTTAAAAATTAAAAACTTTATAATACTTTGGTGTTATTAATTGCAGAGAAAAAGTCAGTACTTACAATTAAAATATCCACTGAAGATAAGTTTCTTGTCAAAATATAGTCGGAACAAAATGCAGGCGAGTCAAAAACATACATATGCACAAAAGTATCCACAGGGACGCAAGGTTTAAGCAAAAATAAGTTAAACTATCAGAAGTCAGGCTTTTACAAACGTTAAATAAGAAAAAAAAAATTTTAACGCTTTTTATTCTATCATGCGAACAAAAGGCCAATGAAAACGCTTGCGTTCAAATGGATAATGAAAACCTTGTAAAGTAATAATTATCCTATTTTTAATGCAAACAAAGTTTAAAAGGAGAAAGAAATTAATACACAAAAATTGCTTAATCTTTAAATACGTTATCAGCTAAATTTTTTATCATTTCAATAATTTTTTTTTTAAGGCATGTGATGCCCCATAGACTGTGATGCCCGGGGCAAACTACTTCAATTGCCCCCCCCCCCCTCTTGGCGGCCCTGCTTCAGTGTATGGAATACTGCAGAGTTTGAAACTAGAGAATTATCATAGGATATCTTATTTTAGTTAAAGATAACGTCAAACTTTTTTATTGTTTCTTTAAAAATAACTTTATAAAAGGTAAGATATTATTTTTTTGCATTTAACATAATAGATGCTAAATCATTGCTTAACTTTATAGTCAAAATAAATTTTGAAATAAAATTCTGTAACTATCTTTTTTTAATTCACTGTACTTTCTTTTTAAATTAAGTCCTGTTTGATTATGTACTTTAGTAATTCAATATTTGGCAGCAGACGTTTTCGCATCATCTTTTTTGCATTAAGTATAATTACTTTATTTGCTATTATATATATTGAAATAAAGCAAAAACAGAAAACTATACTCTAATACAGCATAATAAAAACAGAAAATTATATTCAAGCTTTAAAATTTTAGTTTAAGAAACTTTTACACTATTTTGAAAGTATTTGTACAAATTTATAAAAATCTTTAATTTTTTTTCGAAATTATTTTTTTTACTCAATAAGTTATTCACTTAATAATAAATAGAAAAACATTTTTGTAAAACATTTAGGATGGAATGCAAGAAGCAAACTTGAGTCAAGTTCGACTTGAACTTTATTTTGTATCCAATAGCGGCAGAGTATTTTTTGAGGGGAAAACACAATTCGAGCTTGACTCTAGTTCGCTTCTTACATTCCACCCTTATTGTACACTCTTCTTGCATTCCACCCTTATTGTACACTCTTCTTGCATTCCACCCTTATTGTACACTCTTCTTGCATTCCACTCTTACTGTACACCCTTATTATACAATCTTAAAAAAAGAAATTTCTACTGTAAGTTAGGATATGCGATATATCCTTAGTAAGGTATAATTTTCTACCTTCTAAAGTAGAAAAATGTATGATAAATCATTATTTTAAAAATAATGATTTATCATACATTTCAGGTAACTTTAAAGTTATATTTAATTAGTAAGGTAGAATTCTCTACCTTAGAAGGTAGAAAGTGATACTTTACTAAGGGTATATCACATATCCTTACCTGGGGTAGATATTTGTAACTTATTTATTGTGTTATCCATGAATAAGTGCTTTTAAACTATTTAAAATTATAAAAATATACCTGAATTTTTTTTATTTCTTGTAAAGAAACTAACATAATGTAAATAGCGATATATAAACTATTAACTAATCCACCTAAGTAAACTTTATATAAATTGTAGCGTTTATTAAGCTCTATTAACTAACATTTCAAATAAATATACTCTGAATCATCATCTAATTGATTTAATTACAGTCGATGAAATGTTTACTTTTATAACGTTATTTTACACAACATACACAAATTGATACAAACTCTTTCACGTAATTACTAATTATGCTATATTTATCATTTTTATTCGGAATTTGAAATATAGGCGATCCAAAACAAATATTTGAAACAGAACAACCATAAAAAGCAGAATTCGCTCATAGTATTTCAATATTTATTTCAGAATATATGCAACTTAACTTGAGCAAAATACAATCTTTATAATTTAAAGCACTGTAAAGTAGGCTGAGCACTAGTATAGAGAGAAATTTAAGTGTTTTTAAAAAACGGCTCAAGTGCCTAGAAAACGTTACCAGACAAGTTGAATACGTTTAAACTTTCATTTCTCCATTTTAATGCTTTTTAACTTTGCATTATGTTTATGTGATTTATAAGGGCCGTCCATAAATTAAATCACGCAGTTTTTTAAAATTTTTGACTCTGTCACAGATCGTAACGCTTTACTGTTTAAGTTAAACTTTAAACTTTAACGCTGTTTTTTAACGCTTAATTGTACTTAGCAGTTTTTATTATTTGTTACAATTTTGGAAATGTTCAACATATATTTACAGTCCCTTTATTTACAATCAATTGTTAATAAATTATGTCACGATGGAGGGCTTTTATTACTGAAAACTACGATATTATGACAGGAGGGGGAGATAGTCAAAACGCTCAAAAGTTCCGTGACGTAATTTGTGGACAACGCCTAAACAATTGTTGCATCACAAAATTGTGTACCTCCTCCTTCTTACATTCAGAAAATCGTCACAGATACACTAACTCCTTCCCCACCTCCCGCACAACTCACCTAGTGTGTGAAGTAGTTTAATATCCCCTAAGCGACAAAAATCACTTAAATTAATTTGAAACTTTAAAATATTTTTATTTATTATTTTGATTCCAAAGAACCTTATTAAATAAAAATATATTTTGATCAATGTGTGGCCAAATATTTTAATCACTTTTTAAATAATAGTGGGCGAACTAAGTTTTTGCATTTTCAAATAAACAGTCAGCATACTTACTTCTCTTTGTTTTAATACTTTCAAAGGTTTTTTTAATATAATTATAAAAACAAAGTTTAAAAAAAAAAAAAACTTTTCACAAACGAAATTTATTTAATTCTCAGATAAAAAATTACCTTGGATTAATGCTGAATAATTAGATAATTTATCTAATTATTTAGCATTAATCCAAGGTGAGTAAAAGTGGTTGTCCATTGCGTGGAGTGACAAGGAAAGATTTTTTTCTACATCTTCTTTTGGTATGAATTGAACATTAGATAGATCTAATTCATTTTCTTTAATCCAATTGGTATGCTCTCCGTTTTACTCGAACAAAGTTATTGCCATAGGCTCAGTTTAACGACGAGCAGCCAAACAAGTAGGCGCTTGCTTGATTATGCCAGAAGCAATATTGATTGGTGATTTTGTATTTAAATGGACAATAACGTGTTTCTTTAACAACACATTGGATGCAAAATACATTGAATATTTCTTGCAACATTGACTCTTAAGAAGATGTTCCACAGAGGGACAAAATAGATCATAAGGTAAAACTCTGTAAACCGTTGTCAGGTAAGACATTATATCATGTAGTTTTTATGGCATAATCCGTTCGGAACTTAAAGTTGTCCCTCTGGGAGTTTTGATAGCGGTATCAATGGTGATAAATAACGATTAGGTATGACTATAAAATATGATCCTCTTGGTTGTTTACAGCAATTCCGATTTTCATACTTTAATATTTGGAGAAAATACTGACTTGTTTGCACATGACGAGCATACCAGAAGCTGTCCTTGGTTTTAAAAGTACCAAATAAGATTTTCTGTAACAACAAATTTAGCTACTACATGATACTTGTCAATTGAAACATTAGATCAGATCTCCGCCAGAGTTTCACCAGCATACTAAAAATTTATTTTTTCAAGATTATTCTCTATCGTAAAACCAGCATTGTTAAGATGATTTCCATAATGATCATGAGGTAGGATCGTGCCTGAAAGTTCACGAGGTAATGGTGCCATTATTTCCACTACTCAATTAAAAGCACTCCTTCCTGGTGCATTTGCAGCCAAAAATATACAATCTAGATCATGCTAAAGAAAATGATGAACTGCTCCCTCAATTACTTTTAAAAAATATTTAATTTAATATGGGATTAACTATGCTAATATATTTTATATACTTAAAAGAATACCTTTTAATAACGAGGATTCTCATATGGACCAGCGTCTACAGTCAAGATGACAACTGGAATTTTAGTTTGCCCAGTTTATTGGAATAATTTTTGTAATGGATGAACAAACCTAATTTTTCCAGCAGCTTTAAAAGACATCTTGATGAATTTATTTACCTTTTAAGCACTTTGCAAGATTTATTACAGGACCAACACAAGCAGCCAATCTGATAAGTTTTTATTTTGTTTACTATAAATATATAAAACATTCAATACATAATGTGCATAACCTTTTTATTGTTTAAACTAGTTTATCCCGTCAGACAAACGTTATCGCCATTAATGCTTTACCCCGCGACAACAAAAAAACCATTTTTATAAAAATCCTGAAATTCTTTAAAGTCAACTAATTTATTACAATCAAGAGCGTGAGATTTTTTTTTTTTTTTGTAAATTTATTTG